TCAATGGCAATGGGTTTTTGTGTGGAGTTTCCTCCTATCATTTACAAAAGTAATAATGCCTACTCGTCAACAAAACCAATAATTATTAATCAGCAGTTCCCAGGTGCTAGTAGAGACAAATGTAACATGTTTTAATTGAAATGGTTACAACAATTCTGAAAATTAGAGTAAAATTTTAGGGAAAATATACTGCCAATGACGAAAATATAGGTAACAGAACTTTTGAACTAAACGAGAACGACATTGAATGATTTATTTACATGTTGGAAAGTCACTGTCAGTCTCTGCAAAGAGCATTGTTCATGATTTTACACTGATGTGATCACTTCTTTGGCACTTTTGTCTTTGAATACAAAAGTTGCTTGAACAGTAAGAATGAGCTCAGTAATGTCATCATCATTGAGGTCTGGAAATTCTTTCTTGAAGTCTGCATCCTGTTCTCTTTTGATGACATACAGTTGTTTAATAATATTGTCAAATATATTTAAGGACATTGTGTCTTTGGCAGTGATTGTCAGAATACTTGCCATAACTTTATTACGACATTTGGTCTTCAGTTGTGTTAGGCCACACTCGGAGCATTTTATTATTTTCTTGTCACTGTCTGTGACTTTTGAGTGACACTTGTTGCAGGTTAGATATGACTGAACATAGTTAATTCCGTCTGGTGGGAATTGCACTTGCACTTGTTGTATGTTGTCTGGAACATCATCGTGTCGAGTTATATNTTTGAAATTACAAACATAAATAGTATATCAGAAAGCAGTCTTTGGGTGTCACTTGTACCAAGAACAACAATGTATTTTAATAACAATGGTTACAAATATTTTGACAATTAGTGTGAAGAATTGGTCAAAAAGATTTTCCAAGAAATTAATCTAATACAACTTTTCAGTAAAACTCAATGGCAATGGGTTTTTGTGTGGAGTTTCCTCCTATCATTTACAAAAGTAATAATGCCTACTCGTCAATAAAACCAATAATTATTAATCAGCAGTTCCCAGGTGCTACTAGGGACAAATGTAACATGTTTTAATTGAAATGGTTACAACAATTCTGAAAATTAGAGTAAAATTTTAGGGAAAATATAACAGTAAGAATGAGCTCAGTAATGTCATCATCATTGAGGTCTGGAAATTCTTTCTTGAAGTCTGCGTCCTGTTCTCTTTTGATGGCATACAGTTGTTTAATAATATCATCAAGTATATTTAAGGACATTGTGTCTTTGGCAGTGATTGTCAGAATACTTGCCATAACTTTATTATGACATTTGGTCTTCAGTTGTGTTAGGCCACACTCGGAGCATTTTATTATTTTCTTGTCACTGTCTATGACTTTTGAGTGACACTTGTTGCAGGTTAGATATGACTGAACATAGTTGATTCCGTGTGGTGGGAATTGCACTTGCACTTGTTGTATGTTGTCTGGAACATCATCGTGTCGAGTTATATTCAGTTTGGTGGCTTCAGTTACATTGCTGTATTTGGTCAATGTTAAATAGTTTGTGCCATTAAATTCTTTGATGGCAACAT